GCTACGTAGCCCATGCCCTATCTCCCAAGTTTCTAGGTGAAGAGATAAGAGGGAAGGAACATGAGTGGAGTCTTTTGAGAACCGTCCCAAACAGAGCAGTTCCTTCTGTTTCTTTCCATCTGGAAGCGCCTTGTGCTGCACACTTGCAAGCCCCTTTGAAGAGGGTTGGCTTGACTGGGCTTTCCTGGGACTTTGTACTGCGCTGGTCCTCCTCTTAAGGTTTTCCTCCAGCTACAATTATTTGTCCTATAGCCCAAATTTGGAGTACTGAGCAGTTTAAGATTCACCCAGTGATCATGAGGCATTTACAGAGATTATTGCAATTGTGCATAAGATAATTTTTCTCCTTTTTGGCCTGCTTAAACTTTTCTCTAGAAAGTGTGAGCTACTTTTTAAAATAACGAGTCAGTCTTTAGTTATATGATTACATGCTCTCTTTTCTGCAGTGTTCTGCTTAATTTCAGCACACAGGATGATCCCACAAGGGGATAGAATTATGGCTGCATGAGCAAGTTCAAATCTGCCATTTCCTAATTTCTGAATGCCTGATATTTTTTTTTCCAATCTAAATACCTTTCCTGTGATGAAGGGTTTTTTCCTTCTTTTATTGCTATGTACTTGAAAACTGTAGATCACGCAATAAAAAAGATGCAAAATTCCATGTCTCTTCTTCCTTGAAATAAAAAACTCTTATCAACTGTACCTCTATCCTTTTCTTCATACTGCATAGGAATGTTAAAGACATTAATGGAATTGGGAATTTGCAGTGTTAAAATAATATGTATTAAATGTGTTTGACTTGTTAAGGAAGTGAATTTGCTGTTTGTTTTCTGCATGGTATCTCTGCATTCATAGTCTTTTGACAAACTCAATTGTTTTTTAAAACAAAGTATTCCTTATCCCCCTCTATAGAGCCATATAAACAAATACTTTGTCAAACTCTTGTCTTAAATAAAAGTGGGGTAAGGGAGGGTCAGTCTAATAAAAAGAAATTTAATTTTTTTTTATCACAATGAACCTGTTCACCCATTAGGGGGAAAAAAGAAAAAGCACTTTTGTTCAACCAGAAGCAAAGCAAGAAAGTGTTTGACCTCTCCTGCAGGAGATTTTCAGGGTGTCCCCTTCAGAAGTTCAAGTTGCTGAATTTCTGAAGGAAACAGTTTTGACATACATGACCAATAAAACTTTATAAATGTACATGTGTAGAGATGGTTAAAACTTCCACAGAAAGGTTGAAATAAAAACAGTTGTTAGAATTGTCATGTTGTGATCCTGGGGAGACCAGTTGCAGTTCTTGGGGAAATGAGTGACCACATTATGATCATGGTGATCCTTAGGGTGACATCAGTAGTGTTAAGCATGAAAGAAATATGGCTAGTCTAATTCACAAGGGCTAAATACAGCAACCCCTAAATCACACTTCCCCTTCCCCTTGGAAAGCTTGTGGGGTGATGTCTGCATAGGTGTTTCCCTTCTAGTTCAAATTATTCTGTCTTTCCCTTTCTGTTCTGAATAGCTCTGTGATCTCCTTAGGATTGTCCAGTAGGAACCTTAATAGCCCTCATTTGCATTTGAACTTTAGATGGTATAAGAATTTTAATTTTTAGAGTGAAATAAGAACGTAACTTTTTTTGCACAAAGGAAAAAGAGTTCCATTTCCTGATGTGTACTGGATGCAGAATAAAAAGCTCCAACCTGGCACAGAAAGAGGAAAAACTCACACAGGAGCCATTTTCATTTCACCCCTTTAAGCATTTTCAGGTTGGGTGCTCATTCCAGTTGAGTATTGCCAATGGTAAAGGCTCAACACATCATCTCTGATATGAGTATTTTTGATCTTAAGTATCTCTCCCCTGTGCTGTTTGTTTCTGTGGCTATGCCCACAGTGCACTGCCCTTCCCTCTCAGTTCTGCTGATGTAACTGTTTTTGGAGCTGTACTGTGACCGTATCAAGAAAACAATCCCCCCTTTTTTTTTTTTTCCTTTTTAAAAAAATGTGCAGGAAAAGGAAAATGTTGTTGTTGATTGAAATGCCCGATCAGTTCCCTGGTCACAGTAATGGCATGTGTGCAGGTGCATGGCTATGGTATGGGCAGAGGAAGGAACATAAGCTGGGCAAGAATACCTACAAACCTGCATCCAGCCAACAGCAGTTTCTTCAAAGTTTGTCCTATTGCATTTACTGTGAATGCAAACTGAGGCTGTCCAGGTGTCTGAGCTGCTGTTGGAGGGGTGTGTGGGAGAGCTTCAGTTAGAAGAACATGTCAGAATTTGGTTTGGTAGCTACTCGGCTACATATAGTGTCTCTATTTTGTACAGGAGCTTACAGCTTCATGATAATTCTCAGAATATACGCAAATACAACAGACAGTGCCTGAACCTTTTGGTCTTGACTTCAGCTCAGCTAAACAGAGTGTGAGTTAGTAGAGACTTTGGTGCAAAAGGCTTAAATTAAACCATCTTTCTACTCCCTTCCTCTAGTTGGGCCTGTTGATGCTAAAAGTCATGGTTTTCATGTACAAGTGGAGTAAAGATTTATTTCTTTTTAAGGTTGCTCTTTGGGTTTTGTGGCTTGGTTGCTGATGTTTTTTCTTTTAGCTTAGAGACTATGTGCAAATAGCAAAAACTCTCATAAGTGCTACTCTTCAATACATGCTTTCCAAAGTGTTTTAGGCTTTGTGTTGTTTGGGCTGGGCTTTATCTCCTTATTAGCAAGCTGCAGCTGAGGTGTGGTGACTGACAATAGGTGGTTGATCTAAACATTAACAAATTAACTCGGGCAGGATGTGATCTGGGCAAGGGCAGCGTCATGAACCTTTGCACAATTACAGCGCATGACCCCACTTCTCAACTTGTGTGATTCTGAGCATAACCCGTGAACTGTGCAGCAGTTGCCTACCAGTGCCTCTGTAAAGGTGGGGGTGAAGGAAGGGGTAAAGCTTTCAGGTACATGGACACATATAATACATGTGCAAATAAAAGAGGAAAACTGAAGGGCTTGTAAGGCAAGTGCAGCGCTTGTAAGCTCTTTGAAGGTCTTGCCTCAGAAAGAGCTCAGTGAACTGAGTGAAACTTCCTTCCACCTCTTACAGATGGGTGAAGCTGAGTCAGCTTTGCTGAGGTTTGAACTGTGATCCTGCACATTTTAAGCTTCAAAGCTTGCACTAGAAACTTTTTTGGATAATTCTTTGTAGTATCTCCTTTTTAAAACTAATTCTGTTTAAGTAGGGAAACTGCTCCTTTAACAGCCATCTCACCTTGAAAACACACCACAGAACAAATTGCTGAACTCTCACTAAATGGGCATTGCTCTTACTTACATGGCAACTCAGCATGTCCTGTGTACTGTCTGGTCTCAAAAAAACCCAGCCCTGGAGCTGTTAACTGATCCCCTTCAATGAGGCAGTGAGACATGAGGCTTTTTTGTCTACTGAGCACTGAGTGGGATCAGTGTGGAAAGGGCTGCATGGAAAATTTACACTCTGAGGTGGTGGATGGAATTCCCAAGGGTTGCTCTCTGTTCCTGTATGTTGATGGGGAGGAGAGCCATGTAATTGCTTTTTGCCTATGCTGTATCCTGTAGGAATGCAAGTAAGAGATAAGTGCAGAAGAATGAAATCTCCCTGTTGTTCCTTGTTGCCTTTAAACACCATTCAGTTGGACAGAAATTTTCACTGGAAGTTGTTAGTGCTCCCATTAAGGTTTCTTTTTTTAGGGAAGTTTTGAACATAACAGAAAGATGAGGTAGAGTAGATGGAAAGAATAAGTTTCTGCAAAATATCAGTGCATGTTAAGATATTTCTGTTACTTTCATAAAGCCTAGAAGGAAGCAGAAATCATAGTAGTCCCTTTAGGATATAGATATCCACAGCCTATTGCATCTATTTGGAAGGTTTCAGTTGTGCCTCCCTCTTACTGTTCATATTAACTGCTTGTCTTTTTAATTCATTAAATCAGCTAATACATTAGTCATCTGCACCAGAAATTACTCACTGTTTGCCACTTTTTCTGTCAGGAAGGCTTCATGGAGTCCTTTGGAGACTTGACTCTCTCTGTCTCCTTTCAGGTGTCTCTCCACGTTACTCGTCTGACCTTCGCAAGCGCCTTATGTCATGGTAATGATCTCTTCAGCTACGAGTTGGACTCTGCTCTCTGGGGAGCCACCAGAGCTATCAGAAGAACTTGCTGCCCAGCCACGACTTGCTCCTTTGGTCCTGGTGGTGAGCAAACTTTGTCTGTAGAGCTGCAAGCTCCAGTAAGAGGGAGCAGGTGTCATTGGTGTTGCCAACGGTCAGATCTGGTTGAGTTGTTAGAACAAAAATTTGTATGAATGTGAACATTCTTCCAGCTTTAAAAAAAAACAACCAGGAGACTGAGTCTGTATTCTGGAGAGGTAAATATTTCATGTTTATGTTCTGTGTGTTGCTGGCCCTGCTGTTATGACTTGAGTTCCCTCAAAATGTTAAGATTAAAAATAGTAATTTTAAAAACTCTAGCTATATTTTTTTGTCATTGTTTTGTTTTCTAAACCCCCTTTGGGATGGAGGTTGTGAATATTATCTCTGTATTGTCTCTCAAATAAAAAGTGAGTTGCTTACTGTGTTAAGAAATTCCCATATCCACATCTGTCATCAGAGGCCAGTTTCCATCAGTTTTATTCCCATTTCTTAAATAGACTATATCCCCATTTACCTTTTATTCTCCAGGCCTCCAAATGCAGGTTTAGCAGGATTCTGAGTTTCCTCAGTCTCAAGAGAGGTGCAGACTACCTCATGCCTTTACCATTTGAAAAAGAATCATGGGGGAAATTAAATCATTAGACAAACATGCAATGTGACAGCAAACATCACTGGAGACTTTTGGAGTTCTTTTGGCTGTGTTTTAGATAACTGTGTTTTGGTTCTCACAGAGACCTAATCTTGGGAGGCTAGAACTTTGTGCAGAGCAGCTGGAATTAGTTAAAAGCTGGAACCACTGCTGATTCGGTTGCATCCTTCAACATGACCAATCCTCAGTAAGTACCATGTAAGGATAGTTATAGCTTATTTTAAATAGAAGGGAACAGGTTCCTACTTGTAGGAGGATGGTGTGGCATCAGGAGGGTTCTATCAGTTTTATTGGAAGGAAAAGTTGATATGTTGAGAAGGAGTAGTAGGATTTGGTGAGTTGTCTGACGAGCGTGACTGAGCAGAAAAAATGTGAGTGCTGTGTGTCTGGTGTGTAACTAACAGGTGGTAGTTGAAAGCTAGTATGTCGTACTATTTTCCAATCCACTTGCCTTTTTTCTGCCACCAAACCTGTCCCAAAGCTGTTTGCCAGCAGTAATCTGTTAGTTTGTTTTTCTTTTCAGTCAAATCAGACAATGTCTGTCTAAGAATACAGAAGGTAAATACTGTTGGGAGAGGGAAATCTGCACCAACCCATTTCCTTTTTCCTTTATAATACACCCAAACTGAATCGTTGTATGCTCTTTCACCCCAAACTGAGCTAGCTTGGACTTGTCAAGGTAACTGTCCAGAGGATCACACCAAGGATGAAAATCAAAGAAAGAAAATTCTTGCTAAAATTAGCTCCTTCCTCTGCACTTCTGATTTCAGACTGTTTACAGAGGAATACTGTTCTATTGGAAATGAAAGAATCTCATTCCTTTCCATTATGAGTTAGACAAAGAATAAAATAAAACAAACCTTTAAGTTGTTTTAATAGTGCTTCCTCTTACCTCTACGTTCTGCCATAGTATGACATAGCTGCAACCTTTCCCTGCCAGATACTTGAGATATAACAGCACTTTTTCTGATTTTTAAAATTACTTTCTCATGTAGTACTGACAGCACTTAGCTCCTTTCAATTTAGGAATCGTGTTTTCCATCCAAAGGGTAGGTCTGATGGTGAGGCTCTGACCAATAATCTTTGTCTCTTTCAAACAGAATTCTAGTTTCTTCAGCCACATACTTAGACTTACAAGATATATGAGTTAAGAACTCTTCTAAATTATTCATTTTTTTCCTAACCTGATCTGTTATTCAGGTTGCTTGAATAGCTGGAAGATTTTAATAAGTTCCTTTAAAACAGAATCACCAATGCAACTTTCACAGTTAAATAACAGGGGAGAGTTGGGTGCTACACACTTTTCAGCTATATCCCTAAGGAAAAAGAGTATCTTCATGCCTGCTATTGAAAATCTCTGAGCCTGAGCTTTCTTCAGGTGTTCACTAGCTCCCCTGGATGAAAGCTGGAGAATTTTATGCTTGAACCTGCTCTGAATCAAATGCAGCAAGTGGCTTGCACTGAATCAATCCCTGCTGCAGCTTGACATGCAGGCATTCTCCTACAATGAAGTCATCCTTTTGCTTGTACTAGGTAATATGCTGACTGACAAAGCTTGAGTTTCTAAATAAAGGGTACCTTGTTATAAATGTGGAAGACATGCATAGTTAGACCCTGGTTTTACCTGCCCGGAGTTCACATTAATGTTAGTGGGGTGGAAGGCGAATATGTGTTTACATTTAGAAGCTGTATGTGAGGATAGTTCAGATAATCTGCATAGAGGAGTCTGTAATTCTTCTGAGTCCTTGTTTTCCTTTCAGAATTATTTGAACTGACTTGTAACAGTGGTATTTTCGAACTGAATGAAACAAAGTCACCATTCATCAAAACTATTTGAATATTGATCCACAATGAAAGAGAGGTCAAACTATATCCATGAACAGTTAATTTTTATATAAAGATTAATAAGCTTAGCTATTTGTTCCTCACTGATCTAACTTGGAAAGCAGTGACTTTATAGTTGGCATAGTTATACGCCTTCTTTCTCTTTTGCACAAGTATTTTGCTTTTGGGTTCATGCATTGTTTCCATATTTGTTTGTTTGTAACACATCTATTTATATTTAGTGATTCTGAAGCAGATTCCACAGAGTGAAATGATGTTCTCCATTGTCTGTCAGGTTTATGTTGATTTCAGTGAGTTCTGTGAAAGGCAAGTCTGGAGAGATTTGGTCTGTCCCCTCACTGAGGTTACCCCTCTCAAGGACCTTGCAGAGGCGTTTTAAGTTGCTGTCTTTTTAGGATTCAGTGGAATTCTGGTCTCTAACTTGTTTTTACTTGCTTATTTATTAATATTTGGTTTATATACATGTATGTGTGTAGAGAGAGAGTTTTTTATTTTGCTCATTATGTTTTCAGGCATACAATAGAAGGTGGTGTTTCAGAAGTTGAGATAATTTCACAGCAAGTAGAAGAAGAGACCAAAAGCATTGCTCCTGTACCGCTTGTTAATTTTGCTTATCGAGATCTACCTTTAGCTACACTTGATGTGTCTGTGGCTGGGTCTCAGCTTTTGTCGAATTTGGACGAGGAGTACCAAAGGGAAGGGTAAGTACAAACAACAGAATTTTGGTTTATAGTTTTAGGTTATAGGAATTGCATAGCCTGTAAAAAAAGAAAACCTTGAGCTGGAGGAGTACAGCTAGTTGTCCTCAAACTCTTTTTAAAACCATTGTCTAGGGATGGAAGTGACTTTTTGTAATATTACTAATCTTTGCTGGTTTGGGGCTGTTTATAATTTTAAGTGATCCGTAGCTGCTATTTGGCAATAGTCTGGAAGCCTTCTCTCAGGGAGAACTAGACCAAGCATCTAGCCCATCAGAGTGACCTGGTGAAAGCTCTTTGTGGAAGGCGTTTCAGGAGGGTTTCAGGGTAATAGAGGATTGTCTAATGTGATTCTTGTGCATAGTTGTAAATCTTCTGGCTTGAGGACTAATGACTCAGTATTGGTGATTCCTGAATAGATTGTGTACTTTCCACAGAATAGTTTCAATTCTGTAGTTTGCTTATGTGAGAACATAATCTTTGATAATGTAAATGTGTAGTACTCCTGTTATCACAGAAGAGCTGTTTCAGTTTTATTGGAATAAAAGACCATAACATTTTCCTAAACATAATCCAGTGTCAGATTATATACCATTGCTGTCCTACAGGACATTAGAAGTCATACTTCTGCCTGGTTCAGGCTTCAAGTGGCTGTAGGTAGACTGCTATACTCTATTTTTTATGAAAGATTCGGGTCAACTGGAGAGAATCCAGAGGGAAGGCAGTGAGAATGATTAGAGGCTCAGAGAACCTGCCATGGAGTACTGATTAAAATAACTGTTTCACATAGAGAGCAGGCTTTCAGGGGAGCTTATGAGAGACTTCAGTGAGGAAGAGACCAGTCTGTTATTGAGCTCTGTGGTGTTTAGGACAAGAAGTAAAAAGCTTGAATTGCAGCAAAGTGGAGAATAATGTGAGGGTAGCAAAGCGCTGGGGCAGACTATTGGTGTATGGGGAGGAAGGGCAAAGAGTTCCAATTACTAGATGTCTTTAAGAAGACATATTTGTCAGGAATGATAACACTGTAGTTTAACATCCCTTGGGACAGATTAGGTGAGCACTTGGACATGGTCCCTGATGCTGCGACTACTGTTCCACTTTGTGTTGCACTAAATGTGTGTATACTCCACTGTCAATAAGATCCATCTAAAATCTCAGTAAGTCATATAGGGCTCTCATTGATTAAGACATTATAAACCTGTATATAAGCCTTTATTTATTAACAGCGGAACATGTTTTAACCTGTACTCGGGGATAAGCAGGGACCTGCTTGATCTCTGTTCAGCAGATACTCAGTACGGTAGTCAGGAAGCAGTATGAGAGGAAGGCTCTTGCCTTTAATTTCTTTCCAAATTGGACTTCATGAGACATCTCCAGAAAGTTGTTACTGCAAACAAGGGGAAATACATTTCAAGTAGGTTATATAAGGATGGTACAACTGTAACATAAAATACCCTGTATAGCAAAAGAGGCACTTGAAAATTAATTTGAGTATGCAGGTGTAACCCTCAGGCTGTTTTGGTGCTGAGTAAATACCAGTTTAGTTCAAATGCGCATTTTTATATATTTTTTTGATCTGAAACTCAATTCTTAACTGTGCCAAAGTGCACAGGTCTATCACTGTAACATCTGAGCAGCTGTTATGGTTTGAGGGGGCCCTGGCTAATTTTGTGATATCAGTGTGAGGGCCTAGAGAGAAGATGTTAAGGACCCTGGGGGATCCCAGGAGCAGAACAGAGAGGGGTCAGGTTTCCCTCCCATTTCCTACCATACACCTTAAAAGCCAGGAGGGCAGGGAAGTCCACCTCTTCCTGCTCCCTTCTTCCTTACTACTTTGCTTCCCTCAGAGGTCTTGGAGAGAGGATCCCACTTTGTTACCAGCTCACTGCATGCTCTACACGATCCAAATCTATTGGGTGCTGGGGAGAGCCCATGAACCCTTTTCTCAAGTCTGCTCTGCCATGAGGGATTTTTGGATACTTGTATCAGCGACTGTGGAAATAAATTTTGTATATGTTAGTATATTTTTCATTATTATCACTCATGTTACTATGCCTTCCCTGTTCTAGTTTTAACTTCCTACCTTTAAATCTCTTCCTTATTCCCCTTTTATCTTGAGGGCAGAGGAGAGTAACAGAGACCAGTTCTGTTCTCTGGGTTTTTGTTCACCATGACCACTAAACCAAGACAACAACTTTGCAGTCTTAAGCAGAGCTGAGCTCAAGAAGCCCAGCAACAGAAGTAAAATACTATCCCTGTACCACCTCCTGGCTTGGCTGGGAATATGTCTGGTTTTATGAGTGTGGTGTAATTCCTTTCTCATGGTCTTGTTTGATGTGATTGGCTTCTGCCTGAGTAAGAAGAGTGTAAGGTGGGTCAGATCAGTTTGGTACAGGAAACAGCAGCTACGTCTCCCTCGTGTGAAGAGAGTGATGTGTGAAGGGCAGCACAGGAGGTGGCAGAAAATGTCTTAAGTCCTTGTAGTTTCTGTCAGCATCTGTATTTGTAACTGTGAAGCTCTGTTACCCCAGTGCTTCAATACAGGTTGCGGGTGGAGATACCAGAAGATACGCCAGAGCACTAAAAGGTTACGTAGGACTCAGCCTCCACTCCATGGCTGTCTGCCTTTGTCACAGATTCCAGGTGTTACCTTCTCTATGCTTTTCCCTGAGAAGTTCTTCAAAGGTGCCAACCTGTATGATCTGCCTGTATTCTGTATGGCTCTGTTCTGGATCTGTAGCTGATCTAGGCAAGCTGTAATTGTTTGAACTGCAAGGCTCTGCAGCAGGAAGGTACATCCCTATGCTTGGAAAATGCTAGTTTGTTGTGACAAGCTGCATCTGTCTGTGACCTGGTGGTTTTCAACATTATTGTCCACAATCCCTAGTTTCTAATGTGAGTTTTCACACTTGATCACTAGTAGTTCTCCATCTCCATGTACAGAGCAACAAGAGAGACATCAGACTAGAGATGAATAAGTGGGCAATAAAGGAGACTTCTGAGTTAATTTAACCCCAAGGCTTTCCTTAACCATTTCTTCTTTAAGGCCAGAAGGTGTCCAGGATCCAAGCACAAGTGCAAATTTAACCTGGTAGCTAACTAGGAGAGCTTTTTATTTTGTCTAAGAGAATGTTTCTCTCAAGAAACCCAGTATTAATAGGCAACCAGGAACAGGTGGGTCATAGCTCAACCCTCTCCATGTGCCTGGAAACTCTCAGATGGCATCAGACTATCTACCACTCCCACGAGAAATGAAAAAGAAGGAAAAGTAAAAAAGAAAGGAACATCACTGCCTTTGTCAGACAGGCCATATGTGAACTGACATTTCCATGGCTTTAAAGATACTGGAATAAAAATATTTTGTGCAGTTTGATGGGTCCTTGCTCTAGCATATCAACTGCTCATGGCAGTGAGTTCCCATCTGTCAGTGTTGTTGAAGGAATTTTGTGGACAGTTTGAGCTGTTTTTGTCAGAAATTTAGTTTACAATGCTGATCCCTGTGCTAAGCAACAAAGACAGGACTGCTGATTAGACAGTGCATTAAACCTGTCCCTGAAGTAAACCTGTAGGTAGTGAGTGGGTAATCAGGCAAGAAAAACCCTTCTACTCTCCCAAAAACCCTCAAAAAACCCCACAAAATCTGTTGTTTTCTAATGTGTGTTGAGCAAATATCCTTTTCCCTCTGTAGACTCCTCAAACAGGGAAGGTATAAATACTTACATGGTGGAAGTTGGTAAAGTTGGATGGAATCTGCATTGGGAATATTCTCACTCATTATAAAACATGGGAGGGCTGGCATTGCCTTCTTTGCTCTGAAGAGGAGTGAGGTGCCTGTGATATCTACATGTGGGACAGGAGGGATTTTGGCCTCTGGTTTCCTTCCTAGCTGCAGTGAGGCTGATGTGCCTGCTGGCCTTAGTCTTCAGAAAATGGACATTTTGTGATAAATACCAACAATATGTAACTAAAACGTCTTGACTGTAGCAATCTCTATTTGTAAAGGTGTATCTCTTCCACCCTGTGTAGCACTTTGAAGAAATAGTAGCTTGGTTCTCAGAACCAGTATGTTCATTACTTATTAGCCCCTCTGACCTGCCCTGCAGTTAACCTGTTAGAATCACCCTCAGATTTCACTGCTGGGCACTGAACTCCAATGCTGCAGAAATGAGTGAGCCATAAGCTTGAGATGTGAGAAATAAACTCACTCAAAAAACGTGCCTTGGATGGCAAGGTGAACATGTGGTGTACACTTCTAACATACATGTAACTGGTTAGGTGATACTCTTACACAAGAAGCAGCAGCAAAATTGCCAGTTTTCTGTGTGTCTGTGAATCTGTTGAAGAGGCTGTGTTGAACTTGGTTTCCATAAAAAGAATATGTAAACCTTTCTTTGAGGAGACTAATCACCCAGAAAGCTAGAGAGATTAAAAAATGCTAACATTAGGTCTAAGTACCACTGTTAATTTCATTTTTTGCAATCAATTATTCTTTTTTTCAGAAAATTCCTTTCTCCTATTTTTTTTATCAATGACCAATAAATAGTTGGAAAATTGACAACATGTAGAAGGTGGTACATCTGTGCTAAAAACAAGCAGAGGTAGAGAAACTTCTCCTTCCTGCATGTTTCTTCAGTTCTGATTAGGAGGTCTCATATAAAAGAATTTACAGGCAGTTGCACAACAGGCTGTATTTTTGTGTGGGAGAATATACAGTTAGGCAGTGAGCCTGTCTCTCAGTAAAGCACCACATTTAATGCAGGTGGGAAGCAAAGGGAGAGAGATACACCAACTTTAAATAATTTACTTTAGATTGCAGCTAATGAATTCTTATATGTTAAATTTGAAAAATGAAGGTGCTTCCAAATACTGTGTTTTTACATCAATAGCTGTAAAGGTTGGGAGTTCATACACTTAATGGGACTCTCTTGACATTAGCTGTAATCGTTTATGGTCATCTGATCATTGCCTTAGATTTATTAGGTCACAGCGAGACAGTGCATTAA